TTTTATTGCAGCATTTCAATCCATCAGTGAATTGTATGGATACCAAGGGTCGAAATGCTATCTGGTATGCTGTCGCCAATTGCGATGAGGAATTGGTACTCTTTCTCTTAGAACTGCGAAGCGATATATGGATGATGGACTGCCGACAGACTACCACTCTCAGCCTGGCGATTTCCAATCGAAATTTGCCTATCATCCAGTTGCTGCTTGATCATTCACAAGCTCATCCTTCACAGCCTCGACTAGTGGACGTCCATGCTGGAGACCACCCGCTTTGCTTGGCCGTCCAGGCTGATCTGAAAGAAATTGCCCATACTCTGATCAAATATGGTGCAGATATCCATGTCACGGACAGATACGGCCAGCCCTTGTTGCACCAAGCCGCCAGCAACGGGCATGATGACGTCATCAAACTGTTGTTGGGCCATGGAGTCGATGTCAATAGTACGGACCCAGGGGGCCACACAGCACTGCATTTCGCTGCATTTTATGGGCACAAATCAACTACAAAGCTTCTTTTGAGCACGCCTGGAATTGACATTGCTGCTTCTGATAACGAAGGAGCTACACCTCTCTGTGTGGCTGCTCGTGAAGACCACCGATCCGTCGCATTGCAGATTTTGGCCGAGGAACCAGCAAATCTCAATGCACGCTGCCTGGGCCAAAAGACTGCTCTTCACTTTGCGGTTGTAAATAGAAACCTCCTTCTCGCTTGTCTGCTGGTGGACTTTGACTCACTAGACCCAAACATCTGCGATGAGCAGGGGTGGACGGCCGTTAGCTACGCGGCTGGTCAGGGCGATCTGCGGATGTTGGAGCTTCTCCTTACTAGGAGCGATCTAGATTTGAATGTACCGCACGCTCCTCCCATATATCTTGCCGCCGACAGGGGACATCTGGAAGTTGTCCGCCGACTTGTCTGTCATGAAGAGGTCGATCTCAATCAGACCTACTGTCACAAGTCTCCACTATTCATCGCGATCGAAAATGACTACCATGGTGTTGCAAAACTGCTTCTTGAACAAGGGTCTCGACTGGACGTTAACGCAAAGACCTCTCTTGGCGACACAGCACTACATATTGCTGCCTCTTATGGAAATCTGGATATTGTGAAGCGGTTGCTCCGAGACGATCGACTCGATGTTGCGGGGACTAATCGATATGGAGAGTCAGCCCTGCGACTGGCAGCCCGGAACGGAAGGGAGCACGTTGTCAGGCGTCTTTGCCGCGACCACCGGGGAAGAGATGTTTGCCACTTGCGAAGTGCCATGGAAGCCGCATCAAATCTTCGGATTCTTTATATCCTCCAGGGGCAGTTGATGAGACATGGAGTGGAACCTGGTGTGCGTCGGTCGGCTCGACTTGCCCGAGTAAGTTACCAGGTCTTGGAATCTTGCACTAGGCCGTCACTTCGACGGTCGGCGCGCTTGCTAGAGTCAAGAGTCAGTAGATCTTAGATGGCGAATTCTAGCCAATGTGAATTCTAGGTGACTAGTTTTCAGGATTCAGGATGGTGTCCCCTTCCTTAGGATTAGTAGAGGTTATTATCGGCAACTAAGAAATCCAGTAATTGGCAATAGGAGCATATTTATAATATCAGAACAGGAACGGGGAATGCGAAAGCGCTACCCCTTATCGTTTTCCACCGTCCGAATTTGTTTCAACCGTTGCTTGTACGGCCCTGTGGTTATCTGTTGATTGTCTTGTCTGAAGCCATGACTGTTACTGTAGCTAGGGTGGTTAAGAAGCCACTCACACGCCTCCACAAGCGCTGATTCCGTTTTTAATTTATGGGGAGTCAATATTCTCGAACTTGAGGGAATCAGCAATAATTGCCGATACCCATGAGGCAAAATGATCTAGTTCTCGAGGGGCAGCCGATCGGGCTTCCGCGAGCGAGATCCATATATATGAGAGTTTTCCATGGAGACATAGAGTTTGACAGTGTCGCGGAATCAGCAATAGACACGAAGGAAACCTATAGTGGGTTGTCCCTAGATCTCGATACGTAGAGCGAGGAATCAATGTAGCAGGGCTTTCTCGCGTCCAGGGTAACCCGTATTTGGAGCAAAATGGTGGCACCCGCCTAGATACTATACGGAAGAACAGAGATATGAGATGCAAGACTTTTCAGTGGCCTACACCATAAGCAGCAGGTGGGTCTCTGTATTATGTCACTATCCGCCCTGTCGGCTTCATGTATGATCCTAACAGGGTTTTCGTTAGATATCTCGCAGAAGTGAGAACCAGAAGCCAGCACGTGGAACCAAAGTACCCATCCCAGTGATATCCTACTTGAACCGTTGAAAGCACATTTCTGGCCCCGAGACCAAGAACAGAGGCTTTGGGATCAGGCTCGAGAGCCCTAAGAGCAAAGTAGCTTTTGGGGCGAGTGGTTGCATTCCCAGATTCGATTCAGTCATTCGCGGCCGATGGAGATCCCAGAACCATTCGTCTAGTGACCCGCTCCGGACAGAAGCCTACGCGTAAATTCAAAGTGCCTGCCCCAGGGCATCTCACCAAGATTCCAAAAACCAAAGGTCTGGTCCTGGGATCTTAACTGAACGTTCTGGGAGCGCCACAGCTTCCGGGATGAGTTAAGATGATCCTAAAACCGACCGTGCCGTAAATAGGTTAACCTAGTTTTTGTGAGATTTTTCATCATTTCATATCCCGCACAGCCGCGTTAGTCACAAGTATGAGTGCCTGCCCTCATCTCTAAGCCTATGCCTTCTATGGAGAGATTTTTGTAGCGAGCGGTAGGCTATGCAGAGATTGGGCGCCAGGCTTGGGGGGTCAATCAAACATTCGCAGTGGGTAACGCTGAGAGGCTATACCGGAGCGAGCAGCAGCTCGGTCGATATTTTGAGGCAATCGCACCTAGGAAGAGGCCTTTGTGGGCATCGTTGTTGGCGCGTAACGAGGAAGGGAGTACAATAGGGCACTGTCCGGGCAGGTCTTGGTCTCCGGCTCATCTACATATATCAAATGATATCTCTACGGCATCGTCGCAGCGAGTCTCGTTTCTGACCATACATCCCCTTGGTGTTCGATAGACGAAGCTTCCTGGCGAATGAGCAAATCTAGGACGTAGCTTTCAATTCTCAAAATTACGCAGCCAATGTACGGTAGTATGGGTACACTCAATGGAGGCGTCTGCATGGATGGTAACTATGTTCACGCGCGACCGTACTCAAAAATGAGGGCGCGCTGACGTAGACCTAGAACACAACACGTTCACCAGGCTCGGTTTCAGATCGTAGCCAATACTGAAAGTGAAATGATGGGGATAATCTAGCAGGCCGCAGGGAGCCGGGGATCCACCGCACATCGTTAATAAATGTTGATTGTTGATACTAGGTTGAAGCCTGAACAAACAAAAATGAGTGTTGGGAAAAACCACCGCTGCCTCACCAGATGTAGCACAAAGAACTGTTGCCATGGCATGGCTCTCGGAAAAGCCTTTCACTGAATCACCTTCATTGTTGGCCACCCCACCGCCGCAGTAGAGAAAGGTTCAACAAGCATCACTTTGTATATGCATGAGGCTGTTTAGATTGGCGACATGTAGACAAGTCCACGGCATTGCAATATGAGGCACGCGGCAACAAGATAAGCCAAAAACCTATAAATATGGCCTTCTCCCCGGGGTTTTTGTCGGAACAAACCTCTGCCTTGTCGCATTGGATGGTTTCCCTCGCACTAAAAAGCCGTTAGATGCTCTGCAGCCCATGGTAAGTTCTTCACCTTTGATTCTCCAAGCCATTGCTGTCACTCATACAAACAGTATACACCCATCTAGCTCTCGTTAGGCCCTCGGCGGTTCACTCCACTCGACTCGTGTTCGTGCCGGCTAGCCAGGCCCTCAGCCTACACTAGGCTCAAACCGTCCGTACATTCGCACATGTTCATCAGTCTCGTTGAGTCGAGATAACCATATCAATTTTCACTAGTCTTTTGACGATAAAAAGACAAGTGAGGGTTCCTGTGCAGGTTAGTTTTGTGGCGGCACAATCAACCGGAGACTATGCTGAAACACCAAATATTACGACCAATTCAACCGCTCCAAGTTAGTGTCACAAATATTCCGCACCCACCAGCCAGCCATAGACGAAAGCCAAATCACCGATCAGTCCAGAACGTGTGACCCAGCTCTTTATATGAGCCATGAGTCTCTTGTCTGATCCACTTGCTAAGTTATGTCCGGCAGAAAGTGACTCCAGCGAGACCTTCAGGGATCATCAGCGTCTGATAATGATGCATGCGTCGACTTGTACAGCAATATCTTGAGAGGAATTTGCTAGGTTCACGCACACGTCGCCGTCGTCTCGAGTGATTCGAAATCTGGGGGAGTGTCCCGCGGCATAGCTACATCTGCAGTCCGCCACGGCTAGAGCTGCAACTGGATCGTATTAAAGTATTTGATGGAACCTAGGTATGTCCCTTCGTCGTAATATCTCCATGATCCTGGTCGAAGCCTACGAAGGGCGATAAGGGACATCGGACAGGATAGGAAGACCGTGGATAGCCTCTCATGTCACGGAATTCATGCTGACTACCTTCTGCCAAGTGGTACAAGGCGTACCAACTCTGCAAGAAATCTGCGGGATGCGACGCAAATTCTTGAGCGTGCATTATACGCATCCATTGCCCCGTTCATTAAGAAGCGAGGATTCTCTTGCCTTAGGTGTCTTTCGTATGTGTCAAAGTCAACGGGAATCATGGTTGCTGAGATTAAACCCGTTCTGACTAGAAGCAGTCGTCGCTTAGAAAGTTTCAATCCTAGTCGATGAACACTAGCTCCTCGTCGGAGGCAGTCATGCATCACATCATGGCAAGATGTCAAAAATGCCTATGACGGTGGGATCAAACCGATTACCTGCGGAAAAATACACGGACGATCCCGCAGGTCCACATCCGAGGAGTCAAGAGTTCTTCTTCCTTGCAACGGGCGTCGACCCTCGTGAACATCTCCCAGTCTGATGGGATGGCTATTGAGCATGCAGGACTACCTGAAAGGTTTGCTGCCATCTCCCATTCCCGAATGGAATTCTGATTTCTCTGTGGCCATTGAAAGGGAGACATCGCTGTGGTCGACGACAACACAACATGGCCAGTGGATTCCATTACTGGACGAGTATGAATGTCTTTTAACAGGTCAGTCCACGAGCGTTCGATGGGCGTCGCAGTCTGGTACGACTTTCGAGTCACCAAACATCGGTTCATCCACCTCACGCGAAACCAACGATATCGACAGCGCCAGCTTCCTGTGGTCCCGTTCCACGTGGATGAAGCGACTGTCGCCCCGGCTCCTGAACCGAAAGTTCTCGTCAAAATTAACCTGAATGGCTTCTCAGGATCGGATAGGCTGGCGGACAAGATAAAAGCCGTGCTGACCCTCACGCATACGTGGGGAATCTCCTTCGGTGGCTTGGCAGCTCTTAACCGCCACAGTCGCATGGATAATTGACCATGCGACGATAAGAAGTTGTCTATAAGACTAGATACATCCTTTACAGCAGAAATCGAGTAGTAATTCGAAACCGTCCCTCGTGTCGCATCGCATGCAATAGCTGGGGGATCCACAAATGCAGCCCTCCCCTCGTCATCAACGAGGGACAGACGAGGACTGAAGTGACTGTCGTGCGCCATTGAGCCCACATCTTGAGCATCGGATCGTTTGCCATACTTTGCCAAATGGCCACCCCTTTGATTTAGCAGTCTCATGATTTTCATGATGAGTTTTTCACCTTTAATACTGTCCGAGCCCTTCACTTACTGATATGAACAGCACCAAACCCCAACCTTTGAAGTCACCAGCTCTGTTAAGCAATGAATCTCGTGCGTCTGCTCCGTGCTTTTGCCTACCAATCGTCACACATGACCTTGGTTGAAGGGCAGCCCAATACGACGAGGCGTTGGGTTGAAAGTGGGAGGAAGTCGGGCTGATCCATGCCCAAGTCAGCTGTGCGTTGTCCAAACGGTCCACCGCGCATCTTTGGAGCAAATCAAAGTGTGGGCAATATTGAACATGAAGACTTGTGAGTAGGCTCTCTTTCACAGAATGCATACTGTACTGAAAGAAGGGTTATAGTTCAAGCGCGGCGACAGACCAATCCTGCGGGATTGGCAGAGCACGGCGCAAACTTGCACGCGTCTTGCACGACCTCACCGCCCAACCGTTCGCGGTGAATCTTTACCGAGGCCACTAAGGTGCCAAGCACTGCTTAGCGACGCGTTCCCTACCGCCCATTCCCATTTTGACGTCCTCGGAGACCGCGCTGTCTTTCCACCCAACTGGTCGGCTTGACTGGGCAATCAGCACCCACACCCTGTTCCATTCCTGCTCATGACAGACCGCTCAACATTGGCCAGCCTTCTAATTCTTTCCGAGTAACAATATCTACCTGCCGGATGATCGATACCCACCGATCTCGATCGGCCTGTGCTCTGAGAACTTAGCGAATGTGCATTTCAGCGTGTCATCCGCTCGGCCTTTGTGATGCGTGGATATAAACGCTAGCGGATCGCTGTACTTCTGCAACTTTTGCGAACGAATCGAGACGAATCCGGGGTTCCAGGAAGAATCCGATGAAAAACAACACTACTCTTCCCAACGAAAAAGCCGATGATCCCGCCGAACTCAATGGGCCATAGAGACTCGTCCAGCAAGCGGCCCATACGCAATTAGAACCGCTGGCACCTCAAGGCGTACCGGTTGAGCAATTCAACTCAATCATGGTTGACACGAAGGCAGGAATCTGTGGAACAGCCAGGCAGTGCAAGCTGCGTCACGCTTTACTTGACGCACAAGTAAAGCGTGAGCCGACTGTTTTGCAGAGCCATCTACCAATCAGCCATCGGCGGCGAAATCGGCCTCTCCAGTTCCGATGAGGCTTCGTCTTTCGAGGTAATTGGCCTGCATCACTGCTCAATCATTTCCCGAGCTCTGAAGTCACGGGGAAGAGTGCTCTGAAAGTTGCCACTCCCTTGCTATCCTTTCCCAATAGAGCGCCGTCTCTAGCGCTGTCGAGCCAATCAGGATCTTAATAGAGCTGCCAAAATACGGAGAGAAGCATCTTTCCACGTGATTACTGATTTTGAAGCACCGGTGCAGCTTATTTCCTCATTGGGACTATCTCGCTTCTCTTCTATCACGTGACCATACAGCACTAGCCTCAAACCTGCTTGAGACAAATTGATCTTGAGCTTCAAGAATGCATGCCTATTTTATTGCTGAGCAGAAAAGCGCAGAAAATTCTGTGTTGAGTGATGCCCATTCCATCCGAGAAAATGGTTCTGGGTAGGTGTGGGAAGCTATGAAGAGGAAGCAATGATGGTGGAGAAGCCTGTGGTGAGAGAGGCGAACACTGGACATACTCGAGAGACATCTAATGCTTATAGCCATATCGCGCTGGATGCGTCAGAGACTATGTTACACATCCATCACGTTCATCCACCTTGCCCGATGGGCTCCAAATTGAATGAGTGGTCGTTGGCGCAGGGAAGCATGGCGTGGATGTGCAAAATTCGCTGCTATTGCGGAGGTTGTGTCTCCTTCAGCCAGTTCCTGCGACACTTTCGTGTCAGTCCGTGTGTCTATTGGTGTATGATTTCCAAGGTTTCTAATTCAATGGCATCCCCGGGTCGTTCATTTTTGACCAATTCTACCGACCTCAGCAGGCTCTTCTGGCTTTGACCTCGAGAAAATCATCGTTATGACCTTGAATGATGCCACATGACGTGACTTTCTTCCGTCTACCTTGGAAGCTATGAAGAGGAAGCCATGATACTGGACAGAGCTATGGAGCGTGGTAGCAAGGGCTCATTGTACCTCCGTCTTGAGGTCAATTCCTTTAACTATCTATGTAGTCGCTTTTACAAGCTAATCTTCGGTAACTTAGACCTACGTAGACTGCTGACTGCGCTGCCGATGAGATAGCCGCCTGTGTATTACGGTCTTGGGAGTCGGGAACCGAGGTTGGCCTTCTGAGACCGTCGGCCCCGCCCATGTGGAAAGCGACCTCGACCACGCACTTGTTCGGGACTAAGCTATGCTCGTTTCAGGCTGATCCCGCATCATTGATTTGCTATATGTAAATCACCTCTGTGATCAATCTAGTTGCTGAATACTTATTTATCCTCGTAGTCTATGTTAGAGTATTGTGTATTGAATGTCCTGGCACTTGAAATTATTTAATCAGTATCCGTTATATACTGTAAAGGGACTGTAGTTAAAATAGATTGTCCCCAGAGACATATACCTATTTCCCAGTGCCCAACTCAAACTTGACATTACAGCAATCTGATGACGATCTGGGTCTAGTCCGCCAGTAGGCGTGTCTAGGGAAATGTATTTCTCTAAACCATATGAAGTACCACTGTGATATTTCCAAGAGATAGATTGGTGTAGTTTCTTTAGTGGTCATAACACTGTGTAACCACTGGAGTGATTCATGACCATACATACGAGTTTGCTGTCAAAGTAATATTTGTATTCCGAGGGAGACACGAGGCTGGATATACGACGAGAAGACCAAGATGATTGAGATCAACGCAGTGCTTTTTCTGAATGCAGACCAAAATGTGCTCAAAGGGTGTGAGCCAGACCGGTGGAATGACTTAGGTCTTTCCGTCTGCCAACGCAGGTCAACAACAACAACATCAACATCAACATCAACATCAACATCAACATCAACATCAACATCAACATCAACATCAACATCAACATCAACATCAACATCAACATCAACATCAACATCAACATCAACGTCAACATCAACGTCAACATTCCCCCTAATCCACGATTAGGCGTTCATTAACTTGACTACAACAGTCAGTTTTCTTGACTCTTTCGAGGTGCCATTAAACTACGTCACTTTAGAAACCGAAAGAATTTCCCTTTTAATTAATTAGTTTAGTCTTTTACTGTTTCAACCCCATATTTTTAAAGCCAAAATTGGACAAAAACATTTGATTTGGTTATATTGGTTTGAGATGGGAAGACCAAGTGTCATCTGCAATTTATGGCCTCTCTCATACTCAGTGTCTGGATCAAGCCGTGAATATCACTTGATGTGCTTTCAGTATAGTGCTCAGTCCTGTAATATTGCGAGAAATTCCAACACAGAGTTCTATTTGAATTGTGAAGCAAAGTTCAGTCGCTGACCAACATGCCGACCGCGTCATCTATGCTGCCTTTTCTCACAGACCCAGTGTACATAGTTCCAAAGCTTGGAACTTGATCGACTCCCTTGTTGGATGTAGTCCGGTGAGTATAATTCATAAGCTGCAAAAGCAGGTAAGCGTTTGATCGAACCAAAAGCAATAGCCTTCTCATACCACATGTTGATAATTTTGCCGACGGCAGCGCTTGAGACTTTGCGGAGTTTTGTGCAACCTCTGGAATACCCTGGAGCCATCGTCCAACCATGCCGCGATCGATAGAATCATTGCTTGAGAGACTGCCTCGTGTGTTGTCGTCGGTGATTTTCAGAAGTCGGTTTTTCCTGCAAGTCTTTGAGGTCGTCGTCCGCCGTGTCCGCCTCGCACGACCAAGCCGACGTTTTCGTAGGATATGATATTCCTTCCCTCGTAAGGATTCAACAGATCGGCTGACCCCGAATTGCTTCGAATAAGCTTGGGCACGGTCGGTCCACGGCAGTCCGTTATTCTCTTCTAGCCAGGGAAGAAGGTTATCTTCTTCCCATTCCGACCATCCTGTTGCACTACGCGAGTGCATGGTGATAAACTCACTCGCAATGGGAAGAATATTTTTTGCGCACGGCGAAAACAGAGGGCTAGTAGGGTGACTTTGTTGAGCTTTAATCCTTCTGGTTTTACGTGATCGAAGGTTCATATCCTTTCCCAACGAACCACGGGTCATCAAGTAATTCCTCTGAATAGTTGATTGAATTGATTAAACTAAATGAATCAACTAACAAGACCCGCCTCAACACATATCCTATCCACCAACAACGACGGTTGTCAACGTTGGCCGAACCGAACCAAGTCGAGGCACACAAGCGTCGGCCCCATAGATAAAGGATGTGACATTAAATAAACTTTTAAGATCAAACCATGGAACTGAAAGTGCTGCATTTATCATGTTGATAATTCCACGCCTCAACGGTGAAAGACAGAGTTTGGAACAGGTACAACCCTTTTTTCAATTCACGCGTGTTCTGTGCCTCGTGCGAAAATGTAGATCTCATTCAATAACATGGGGTGCCATTTGAGCTGATGGAACCATCAACGCTGACTCAAGGGAAAAAAATCAGATCGTCAGAAATTGATCTCTATATTCGGCGCCGGAAATAGAAAGTACGGAAATGCATAGCTGGGGGCGTGGGCTCCAATTCAATTGGCGGAGATTGTGAAAGGAACACAAATAATATAAGTAGCCGTCGTCTACTCGGAAACATATATTGCCATTGCTCGGTGAACCAAAAGACCACAAAATTCGCCCTTCGTTGCACGACACTAGACACTAGTATGGGTGCCATTCGAAAGTCTTCCATGTATTCCTCTCGACGGCCCGACTTTCGGAAACAACTACAACGTGCGCTGAGTCTGTCCTCATTTGAGAGCGACGAAACTCACAGCGCCTCTGAGATATCCATCGGCAACACCACGGAGGATCAGCATTCGATGGTGTCGAAGAGTGCTGAATCTAGCGTGCACAGCGACAGTGCAAGTCATACATACGAAAACCAAATTGGCCCTGAATTGCCCTCGGTTGCCCAGATGGCGGAAATTGTTGAACTGCCGGAACGTCCCTACGTCTAGCGTTCTTTGCTTTTTGACCACCGGGCGCAATAAAGTCGAATGCCGTCTTTTCTTTATAGCAGGTAGGGATGGTTGGGAGAGGAGCGACTGTTGCAGGGTTGGCAGTGGCATAGGAGGAGCAGTGGCTACACGACGGTCAGCATTTAGAAGATCGAATGATTGTGGGAGAGTCAACTTTCAATTACGGATTCTCCAGTATTGTGAGGACACTGAAAGGTGTTCACGAAGGGGTTAAACGTAGTTGTACGTAAGCGGTCATAATCAACTGGCGCCTGCATAGCTGTTGATCTTCTAGACCGACAATAGAAACAGCGAATTATGCGAGTCCGAGCCGGAAATGGGGTTCCACAGTCATAACAAGGACGATTATTGAGGACAGGTGGAGGAGATGGCCGGGTTCGACAATGGCCGCAGTGAAGATCGTGCGAATTTACAGGAATCGGAACGCTGCAGCCTAAGCAGGGACGGGTTTCGACAAGAGGCGGCAAAGATGCTAATCGACAGGCAGGGCATCGCGGTGGTTCGATAGTTGTAGATAAACGAACCTGGCGACCACAGTCATGACAAGATCGGCGAGCTAACATACCGTGAGTAGTTAGATAGCCTGGCCAAAATAAACGAAGCTGGTTAAGCGCGGGTAGTAGACTGAGAATCGTTAAGAGATAGTTAGTACGTGAAGGGGCGGCTTTGCATAAAACAAAAGAAGTACTTAGCAGAAGAATACATAGGAATAAAATCCAACAAATAGATAGCGTAAGTAATTTTTCCTCTATGAGGTAATAGTCGACGATACTAAGCCTAACGGGAAGGCAGAGAGCTATGGCAACACGGTCATAGCGTCAATAAGTGTAAGTATATACTCTATAAGTCAGGATAGAGGCCTGTCAATCAGGTAGGAGAAATGGAGCCAAGTCAATAGTGTAGAAAGGTCAAAGACTGTTTCTTGAGGATTGTAAAACCTCTTCAACATGGGTCAATTTATATACAGTCTCATCGTTCAAACAGGAAGGAGATGTATCCTTGGTAGGGAAATGGGAGCGGGGTGAAACACGAGGTTTGTGTAACCTCTGTCAAGGGTGTTCCCTGCAGGAGTTCGTACACGTACTGATGCCGAAGCCCCAGCGAACCTCCACAGAAAGCCTGCCGGCTTATCGTCCCCGGGAAGCCTGAGGCACCAACACTTGGGAATAACCTCATGCCAGGATATATCATAACAATAAGGTTACGGAAGACAGTAGCCGAAGCCGATTGGCAGGGTTTGAATCACGGCAACGTAAACAGTGGAATAAAACTATAAAGCTACGTAACTACAACCAATGTTCTGACAATGCTCGGGGGCGTGTCTCGTAGGCCAATGAAGCCAGGCATAGGAATAGGCTATAGTAGACTATAGTTAAAAATACAGCTATAAAATAGGAAAGACACAAGTACTGATTGTAAACGTGCGAGTAAGAGCAGACAAAGTCCTAGAGGCGTAAAAGCTAAGTCATAAAAAGCGCGGAGAAGGGAAGGCTAAGTCCAGTGAGGACTTCATCAGCGAGCAGATCACGGAGGCAAAGAGTGAAAGCGAATAGCAGCGTGTTAAACTACAGTAAACTCCCGTTTTCGGCACTCCCAGGTTAGGCACACATTTTTATTAGGCACCAAAATTTGTTGGATGGACCCACTTCTTAGAGTTTTCCCATATATAAGAGGCCAACCGGCACACCTTTTTGTCTGGCACACAAAACTCTTTTCAATTTTTGCTTAGTCATATCAACCGACCAATCAGAATGCAGGATTCTACCCCTTCCAACCCTTCCACCCCTTCTTCGGTCGCCCTTTCAGCTAAACTGGCTATACCAAAACAACCCAATAAAGGCATATCCGATGCTCAGAAAAAAGCACTACGTATCTATGCATCGGAGACACGCCCTAAGCCTACTCAGAGAGAATGCGCTGAGTGGTTTTCATCTCAATTCAATCGTCATATCAACCGTGCGACCGTCTCCAAGATTCTTTCATCCAAATATAAGTACCTTGATACTGGTTTAGCTGGTCAGAACAAACGCCCGTTAGCATCTCGGTGGCCTCTATTAGATGAGGCCCTATATATCTGGTAGTAGCGTCACGAGAATGCCGGCTTTCCTATAACAGGCCCATTGATTCAGAGCAAAGCCGTCGAATATTGGAAGAAAATACCGTAGTATAAAGATCTCGACCCGCCACTTTTCTCTGAAGGGTGGCTATCACGGTTCAAACAGCGCCATTCGATCCGATATTATACCTCCTATGGCGAATCTGCATCGGTTCCGGCTTCGATATATTCCGATATGGAAGCTATTCGGGCTATCTGCGACCAATATCAGCCAAACGATGTCTATAATATGGATGAAACAGGTCTATTCTGGCGTCGAATGCCAAATAGGGGTCTATCGAGTAAGGGTAGTCCTAGTTATAAAAAAGACAAGACTAGGATTACTCTCGCAGTAACGACCAATGCTACTGGTTCAGATCGAATGCCTCTATAGTTAATAGGCACTGCGAAGATGCCTCGTGCTCTACGAAAACTTAATATCCCAGCACTTGGATGTATCTGGCGATAGAACAAGAACGCATGGATACGCGGTAATGTTATACAAGAATGGTTCCGCTCGTTTTATAGGCATATTGGCACACAAAGACGAGTCGTGCTATTACTCGATAACTTTAGCGCGCATCTCTCTGCGCTTGAACATACGCCGCCGCCGTCTAATATTAAAGTCGTTTTTTTGCCACTAAACGCGACCTCGGTTTACCAGCCATTAGACTAGGGTATCATCAGAAACCTTAAGCACCATTATCGGAAGAAATGGTTGACATAGATGGTTAATATGATAGACCGCGGCGTCGATCCTACGTAGAGAATGAGCCTCTATTACACACTACATTGGATCACCCAGGCTTAGAGACGTGACGTTCTAGATAAGACTATTCAGAAGTGCTTTATTAAGAGCACGCTTATTAGCCCTAGCACTAATGAGATGAATACGTCTCCGTCTGAGGACCTTCAACTGGGTGATTTATACGCATAGGTGACCGACCGGCTTCCTGGTACAGAGGTTATGGCATTAGATGAATTTCTAGACCCTCTAGGAGAAAATATCGACGTAGAAGAGCCTGATTTATCTGATATTATCGTTCATTTTTCAGAAGAAAATACAGGTAGGGATAATGGGGTTTAGGATAGCGAGGACGACCAGGACGAATATATATTCGGACCACCGCTGGATATCCTCTCGCGTATTAAAGCTACTGAATATATACATAAAGCTCTTCAATTTGCCCAGCACCAAGAGGGAATTACTGAGAGAGATCTACGTGATATAGAGAGGATCGCTCATCTATTTTCTCGATTCGAGATCAATGGGAGGAAGCAGAGGAGGGTGGATGACTACTTTAGACCAAAAACAGACTAGTTCTTACTAGATTAGGGTTAGCGCGATATTAGTGGCACACTTTCATTAGGCACATCGGAATTCTGATGCACGGAGGCCCGTGCCGAAAACGGGAGTTTACTGTAATGAGAGAACTATACAACCGAGCTTTACAAGCAAGGACGAGCCAGTCATAGAAGGGAAACGTAAACAGAGGCGAAGAATGAAGCCCTAGAACCCTAGAACTTTTAACAGCTAGGACAGATCGAGACGGTCTTGGCGGCAAAAATTGACCAATTAGCGGCGAGAATTTGGGCAGATTTTACAGTGCGAACTGGTGACGCGCGCTGTCGCACGCCGTGGCCCTGAAACGAAACAGGTACGAAACTTGAGTCGTAAGTTGAATGATAATGTGGAAGTCGAACAATTAGTCTTGATAACGCACCGGAAAGGTACACACGTATGTCCGCTAGGACTAGCCAATTATATATATGCCGAGTGACGTAGCAAAGTTAGTGTATGATGATTGGACGAGCGTGCCCATAAAAGTCAAAACGATTTGAACGGAGGGGAAAATGAGATAGTTAACTGGTTAAACAAGCATTTTTACGTAGGGTAAGCCTGAAGAAACGTAAACCACAGGTTGAAGATCGTGGCAGTATTGATCACGAACGACATCCGTCATGAAGACGAAGCCATATTAGCTCTACCTTCCAAAGGGCCAAAAAGTTAAAGAAAAACATACAACAGCCAGGATTCGCATGTGGTCACCCACCATACTACTAACTGGCCGGCGTGTGGCTTAAGTACGGCTGAGCGGACGGGAAGCCCTGTTCTCCACACCCTATGGTCGTATGTGCTAAAGATACACTAGTGGGGGATCATATAGATATCACAATATCACGCAGTACTGTAGAAAAGGTGATGATAGAATCTAATGCAGGTATATACGCATGTTAAGAAACTTAAGTCAAGAACAGAGTTATACAACCAAAGACGAGTCAGCACGAGCTAGTCGTAGAAGGGAAACGTAAGATGTAATGATTGGACGAGTAAGCACGTAAAAATATATCCATAAGTCAAAAAAAAGGAAGTAAACGGAAGGGAGTATCTATAAACAAGCATTTTTACATAAGTAAGCTAAACAGTTCTGCATATTACTGGATATTTGACTGTGGCCACAATGGAAGCAACGGAAACATAGTCTAACAGTTGACACGATAGATGAGCTCGAAAATTTACGACTTCTACGTTTAAGATTGTACCAGCCAATTACTCCTCTGTTGTCACTCAAAGATCAAAGAATTCCAGAAGCGCAAGAAATTATCATTGAACCATGTTAATGTCAATAGTAACGGAGAAAATCCATCACTGAGATATCGCTTGTGTTCCCTTGTAGCCAGGCCGAGGTCTTAGGACTCCCCATTAGGATTCTCCTCCGAGTACTCAGGGTGCTCCTCATCTGATGAGTCGCCCTCGTTGAGCAGATCCCAAAACTTCTTCTCCGCTGGGTCGAGTTGCTGGTAGATCTCCCATATCTGTCTCGCATAGTCAACACGGCGCATTAGGTGAGAGCGCTGGGCCCAGAGTAGCTCTAGCATCCGGAGTAAGCCACGGAGGCGAGCGGAGCGGACCTGGTGGCAAATATGATGCTTGCGGACGCAGCGGGTGCACTGAAAGTACGGGATATTGAGATCCTGCTCCATAGCACAGGAGCTAATGCTACAAATCTCAGCTGGGCGTCGTCCACCGGCAATCCACGTAAGACATTCAAGGCAAGTGACCATCTCCGTAGGCGGGATATGAGAGGGCGGGGCGGCGTGCGACATGTCATCATCGCTGCGAGTGTCAACAGTAAGACCCCCCTGTAGATTGCCAGTGGTGGAGGGCCTCTCAGAGTGGGAGTCAGAAGGGGTAGACGGGGCTTGGGAAGCCATCTTCTTGGGTGTTATGTGGCAGAAAGAAGATCAAATCAACTTGTGTATTCCAACGAAGACGTCAAGGCTGGAGAGGTGTAGAAGGAGGAGAGGGAAACTGTCTGACTGGAAGGCTTTTAATATACCATTGCTCCCGGAATCTACCATTTCCAACATCGGCAGTTTGTCCTGCTGCCTGATTTCTTGCCTGATTCTTCCGCCCTCGATCATCAAATCGTCACATTCGTCACACCTTGTTATAAGGTGAATACGCCTTAGAGAATTTACGAGTTCCCTTGGGTCAACGGCCCGGGAGGATTGTATCAGCCGACGAGCCGTCTTCCAGGCGAGTCAGTTAATCAGCAGTTACATCCTTACCGATGGATTCGTCGCAGAGTTCAGATTCTATTGGAAGGCGAGCCTCACTAGAGAGACAGGCCTGGATATCGTCGTCTTGTGGTTAAGAATCAGAGCTCGAGGTCAGCGTCCGAGGTCTCTTTATTGGAGTTGTTGGGTTGGCAGGACTGTTCCATCTATCTGCTTGTTTCTGCTTTCCCATCGACGAGGAAACGATGTGAGACGTGAAAATCTAAAAGAATCCTGGGTTTGAGAATGCTCGATTACGCCACACCACTCTACCGAGTGAGGCGCAGCCGATGTGTGCCTGATGAACGTAGAAGATATATATACGAGACGAGTCAAGGATAAACTGTTAAGAGGTCAAAAACTGAGAACAGGGCTGTCGAAGACTTCCTACTTTTGACTTGTCGTAAGCAGTAAGTGAATGCCGGAGAATGCCATGTCCTTGGGATACAATAGTAGAGTTGTGAGTAGGCAGGAAATTAGGCATAAGGGCAGACTGCCAATTTAGGAAAATGAAGATACCGGATGGAGTTATCAGAAAGCCTTGCAGCTAGATAGTTTTCACCTTTACTCTCCTTCCCGTCTACAATTCTCTCACCGGAGCTAAAGGCCTCTTTCACGACAACATCTCACCCACTTCTGCGCGCGATCCTCCCATTTAATCATCGTTTACAGATCTCTCACCCGTTCAGACTTAGCGGTCGCCGAGGTATGGTACGGCTCGAGGCTTAGTATCAGACGCTAAAGATGAGCCACAGATGTCTCTGACATATACGGTGGACGACTTTATCTTCTCGTGGGACGATGCAAACGACCCCCTGCCGTGCTGGCAGTGCCTTCTGGAGATTGCGCAACCGAATATCTTCCTTTATCAGGCCTCCTTCAATATCTGCGACGTCGCGTCTGGTCACCCTTATCCGTGCAGCGAATGCGTCCAGTATCACCTACGGTGCCAGACAATCCCAATGGTTCTTCGTCCGGAAATATGGTATTTGCTGTATGGTAATCACGCCTTCTCTGATCAGCAGATCCGTGAGAGGTTGTCGGAGATTCTACAGCCTTATCGGGAGCGTCATCAACAGCTCGGGGATGATGAGGCCTAAGAGCAGGGTGGTTGCGAAAGGAATTCTTCGGCATTAGGGTGTTTTACTAGTTGTTTTATGGCCATTTTGGTCGTTCTTTTTGTATGCAAATGCCTATCCAGTAGAAGATTACAATCGAAAAGAGAAGTGTAGTTGACTGATAACATGAAAGTCGAATGATTAGTCTTGATAGGTACCGGAAATACCGGAAGGGTCTATATGCATGCCCGCTGGGATCAGCCAATTATATGCTCACTCAGTCTCGTAACAAAATGCGGGGTAAGATATAACGATTGGACGAGCATAAGCGAGAAAATATATTCGGAAAGTTAAAAGTATTGAACAGAGAAGACATATAAAGGAGATAAGCAAGCACTTTTACATAAGTAACTAAGCACTTTTGGATAACACAGGATATTGCGCAGTGACCACAATGGAAAACACCTTAGACAGCTTAACGGTTAACGCGATATATGAATTAGTTATAAAGGTGAATCCCCTTTGGAGAATTTACGACTTTTCTTAGGTCGACGGCCCCTGATGATTGTGTCAGCCGACGAACCGTCTTCCAAGCGAGTCAGATTGTCAGTAGTTGTCTCCTTGCTGATGGGTTCGTCACAAAGTTCCGATGCTATTGGAAGATGTGCCTCACTAGAGGGACAGGCTTGGACATCGTCGTCTTGTGGTTGAGAATCAGAGTTGGAGGTCAGCATCAGAGGTCTCTTTACTGGAGTTATTGGGTTGGCACGGCTGTTCCATCTGTCTGCTTGCTTTTGCTTCCCCGCCGATGAGCTAGGAGTCACTGGAGCGGTTGTAATGGAACTGAGATTTGGAATAAAATAAACATCATCCACGCCAATTGCGAGCCGGGGCGTGTTATTAGTGACACCGAAAATCCTCCCGGTGATAAATATGCGAGACTGCCTAGCAAGAGCGGGAAATTTTGTCCAACGGTTTCCGTTTCTGAAGTAAATAGAAACAGTAAATGTCACTGACGCCTTGTTGGGGACGTCGTAGACATTAGTCTCGAGGTCGTAATGTAACAGAGTAGACCCGTTGTTTAACTGTCCCCCTCCACTTCGAACTATTCCTAGTAAGGCAACTGAAGGGAGAGCGGCCTCTGGGCAGTGCATATTGTACGTATGCGAATTAGAATGGTCGCCTGGATGACTAAGAAAATCTTTAGTGGTAGGGAAATATAGGTAGGTTTGTGATTTGTACCTTACCAGTCAACTTCATGGGCGTGTAAAATTAAATGTAGAACCCCATCTGGGTCGACAGAAGTGAAGAATGGGCCCCAAGCATAGATGAACTTGTTCGGTTCGTAGGATTGTGGATTGCTCGGCGAGGCGAAGAATTGTATAGTAGTCGGAAGCTCATTCAATTCTACGTCGTCCGAGTAGAGATTCGTTTGAAAAGGAAGATGTAAGGCAGACCCAATTTGTAGAGCAAGGCCCTGTTCTGGTCGAGATGGGTCGGGTCCCACGGTGTCTATGAAATCCCTCAAGTGAAGAATAGCCGGCGAGTTTACCTGAGACGGCATGTGGATAACAAAATTGAATAAAGACGGTGTCAACGAAAACTAAAGGTCAAGGAACAATAGGGACGTCTAATATATACCTGGAGAGAGGAATATATCTGGACATGCGAAAAACTATAGTATTTTAGTATTACTTCCTAATCCCGAGGACCGATATAATCATACGTCATAGGTAAGGAAAGCATATGTAAAGAAAATTTCGATCCTTTTAGATTAGACCTATTTAGGTAGAAATGCATAAGTAGTAAACTTACCGGAACAAAATAGGTTTAAGATACGTAAGTGGAAGGAAGTCATGATGTCGACGATGCTAGGTTCTTTCTTTCATGAGGTAATAGTCAACGATGTCGGGAGTAGCGGCATTCGCGACAGCTACGGCGGGATAGGCCATTGCGTAGTTAAGGTTACGGAAGTCAACAAACCGAATCCGATAGGAGCGCGACTTGAGTCAAGTAGTCAAAACCTTATCCAAGCCTATGCGTAGCATCCAAAACACTCTACTTTGAGTATTAAAATCTAATAGAGGCGTCATTCGTCATAATATTAGGCGTGATTTAGCAGTCAGAAGTGATAAATAATGTTATGTGATTGTCTTATTCTATTACTATACAGAGCTGATTCTCAAGTTTGAAGCTTCCTGCCACATGGCAATCGTTTCTTTTTCGTGTTCATGAAGTCTTTCCATTTCAATTAGCAGTCGAGGGTCGGGTCCGAATCGGAGGTCATGCATATCGAGTTTTTGCAGGAGATGAAGTCCTTTAGAGGATCGAAGCCGGGATAGTTGCACATACATCGAGCAATACTTCCGGTGATGGTCTTGGCCCCGGATAGTGGGGTCATCTTTGAGGTCGAGAATGGCAGCTGAAAGCGTCGACCCTTGTACTTTATAGTCGGTGAGGCAGAAAGCTGGGCACATAGGGACCTGTTTCCTTCGGACCGAATAGCCTTTCAGGGTAATAGATCGTTCTAATGGGAAGATTGGCATGGCTGCAGGTTCAAGGTCTTGAAATCCGGTAGCCTTTGATCTGTTCGGTTTAAATATAACGCAAGATGGTGGCTTAGTGCACATAATATAGAGGTCGTCGACCTGAAAGAATTCGGCTGGTTATAAAGTATGAGTTTGTTACGTGAGTCATTGTCTTTATAGAAAGATAAACCCACCTATGGGATCGACCACGATACCGATCGCAGTTCCTGATGCGCCATTGACCAGGCCAAGGGGGGTGCAGATATTGGTCAGTATAACGGCAGGCATATTTGGGGTATATAAGAAGAGTCCCGGGAAAGGGATTTTGGTGCCTTGGTCTGGCTGCTGCAGCAAGTCGTCTGCACGCAGTCGCAGGTTCATTGGGCTAGTGGACTTGGTCCGCGTATGAAGCGCGGGGAAAATGTAGATGCTCTGGCATCGGGTCCGGGCGAATTCTTCTAATCTAACGCGGTTCACCTGATGTCGCAGAGAGTTCAACTTAACTACGGTGGTGGCATCTTCTAGTTGAGGGCTGACTAGGGAGGTGATGGTTTTGCTGTTAAGAAACGATCGATCGGCTTCAGTTAAAGTCCCTGTCCTAGCTCGTGATAGCAGATCGCGAAATGGAGTGTCTCCTTCTGCCTGTCTCATTTGCTCATCCAGGATGATTACCTCTTTGAATTGATGCCAGAGTAGGCGACCGTTTTCATCCTCATCCAAGCCCCTTCTTGGTTCCCTCCACAGTGCCGGGCCCAGAACAGGCGGAAACTGGAAGAAATCGCCGATAAAGATGACGACAGGAAGGCCACCGAAAAGATCAGGAGAGGATCGGTCGAGGGCTTTGGCGATCTTGCATTGATTATCAATCACGCTAATCATGCGTAGATCCATCATGCTGACTTCGTCCACGATCATGATAGTCTTGCGAGACCAAAGCCGTCTCACCCTGGAATTCATCCCGGTCTTACGTGAACGATCGATAGATATCCCTAAGGATGTATGGTACGTATTGCCGCCGATGTTATCTGCGGCCGCACCCGTCGGCGCCATGAGGACCACTTCGTCTTTCCGTCCGATAAGGTTCATACCAGCGACAACTGCCTTGATAATCTGGCTCTTGCCGGTGCCTCCTTCTCCTCCGACATAGAGGAGAGTCTGCTTGCGCCGCGATGAATCATAAGGATAGTCCGCCCAGGTCAAAGCTTCAGACAGCACTTTCTCCACTATCATTCGTTGTTTCCGATTTAGGGGAATGTCTTGGTTGATCAAGAACGCAAGAGAGGCGCCAGTAAGATTCTGGACGTTGCGGGATTCAAGATCATCCATCGTAGGGATTGTGTCCGAATTAGCTAGTATAGGATGCAGGATCCCATCTTCAACGTGGATGTCAAAATCGTCAAATGCAAAGCCAAAAGTGCCAGCATCATCATCCGTGTTCTCTTCAGAACTAGGATTGATGCAACTTCTAAGTTGACACTCCCACGTCTGTAAAGTATGTAGTGGGAGGAACCTCAGCCCAGAAGATTCGTATGCAGGAGTACTGAAAATATCGAGCGGCTGGAGGCTCTGTAGTGATAAGTTTCGTGTTCGGTCTAGTGCGCGCAGTAAGAGAGGGATCCGCCGGCCAGTGACTAACGTCTCCTGATACCACGCTTTGCTGATGGAGTGGTAGGCAGCGATTAATGTCTCCGCATTAAAACTCTCATCCTGGAGGTAGAAGAATTCTCCGGTCTCCTCGCTATCAGAATCAAAATTTGCGGGCTCATCCTCGTTAGCATCATGAAATGAGTCAGCGGCGCTGTTTGCAGACTTCCACATTTTTGCATCAGCCTGGCAGTCTTCCTTGGACTTTCGCAGTAATTCGATATTTATTGCAAAAGCTCTATTGTGAAATGCGAGGGTTGGTTCAACAGCCGCCCATACTGGAACATAAGCGTCCGTCGTTGTCGCATATCGCCGGAAGAGGTCAATCAATTGATGCCAGGGAACAAAGAGCCCTAATAATATCTCTGCGACGTCGTTCATAATCGCGGTTGTTTTTGGATGACCTCCCGGGACCGCATCTTCTGCAACCTGGAATTCGGTGAGTTGTCCGCTGAAAGTCACGGTGGCTAGTTGGGTTGGAGTGCGCGCTAGGCGCTGTACATGCGTGGCATATCTCGGGTGGTCTGGGTCGAAGTCCACGTCATCAGTAATAGTATCGCGTACATGCTTTGTCTTGACAAGCATGCAGTATTCAAATAATGCCAGAGGAGCTAGGTGCGGTCCACGCCATTTGTAATTATCAAAGATGCTTACGGGGGCGGTGTCGCCAGTTTCGTACGCGCAAGGTTCTTCTGCTATAGGGTCCGGAGAGGCACTGCTTTGAACACTAGCTGGCTGAATTATCGCCCGGATATAGCGCCTGAGCCACCAGAGATTGATGCGGGTGAAGTTGTAGTTGATCGTGTAATAGGTTGGTAGTTGTAGTAAGACGCTTGCGACCTGCACACCACTGATTTCTCGGTCATGAGAGAGCGCATTAAAGCAGCGGAGTGCAAAATTATTGACACCCTTTTGTCGAAGCCGGAGGTCTGTCGCTGTCGGTGGCTCAGCAACCTTTGCCTTCTCAATGGAATGCTTCAACAAGGCCGCCTTGGCCACTATCTGCCATGGAGAGACGTCATCTTTCGTGGCATAGTTGGTGATGTAATAGATCAGCGACAAAGACTTTGAGACTGTTGGAATCCAAGAGATGTCGTGATTAGAACGGACACAACTAGCAATAGCCGGGTTCCACGGGTTTATCCAGGCATGGTTTCGAGCGAGGTGAATCAGTCCACACTCATCGACCTTAGAGACAGGAACCAGAGCTCGAGGCATGCCAAAGCGACAAGTATTCTTTCCGGCCCCCCTTAGACGGTATTTGAAGCATGTGGCGAGATGATGTTTCGAATGGACCTGCGTTTTACGAGCGACACAATTGCTGTCATATGATAGTTGAAGATGAAAGTCGTCATCGGATTCGAAATCTTTGGCCGACGGTGGCGTGCTGGCAATATTCACTTCAGGGTCATGTAGAATACTCTCATCAATACCTTGCATGATGATCGACTCTAAGTAGCGAACCATACGAGTTGCAAAGTTGGTATCGTGCAGAAGCCGATCACGCAATGTAGTGAAAGCTAAGTTACCTCTCGCCCACGCTAATCCGTGGACATGTAGCATACCTCGGCCGTTTGTCTCGACAACAGCAAAATGATTTGAGAGTTCACCAAGGATGCCTATCTGGGCGGTATTGGTAGCAAAAAGACCTTCCAGGACGGCTTTGCAGACGTGATGGAAGAATTCTGCAACAGCTGCTGGGTTAGAAGTAGCAGCAGCTTCACGTATAACGGCATTGGCCGGGGCGAGGTTGTCCCCAGAGTACTCTATACCGGCCAGGATAAGGACGAGGGGGTTCCGTAGGTCGGAGGGGTTGATAGTGATCCAAAAGGCAGGCATACCATACCAGGTAATTAGCCCTCGAATTTCAGAGCGCAATCTGAGTTTCTGAGCAAACGATCCTGGGACCTGCATGCCGATCGTCACAATATTTCGTAGCAGTCGTCGGATAATCAGATCTTCGATTTTCTGGCCCATTGCGACTGCCTTTGTAGCATTTTGGAGCTGGGTCACTGTCAAAGATGCGATATCCTTAGTTACGGAGCGCCAATTCTGGCGTTTGATGAGGAACGCGTTGCTTATGGACGACTTCCGGAGTTGGATCACATCATATAACAAGTACATAAAGGTTTTATGGCGAGCGAATCTACGTGGATTAGTAAAGACGTACCATCATTAATAGAGGGAAGGCACCTTCTACTATGGTGGCTCAAAGCCCACTCGGCAAACGCTCCAAGGGATAACGGGATAGCTCGCTCGTCGAGATGGCCGCCGATCCCCGTAGGGAATAAGGTGGGGAAAGCGGCGGTAAAATAATAGGGATCTGACCAGTGATCCACTAGTATGGCTTGTCCATGGATTGTGTAAGAGATAGCAGGCATCTTTCCTAACT